GGGCCGCTCGGGAGCGCACGCGAGCGCACACACAGACACGTGTGCCCGCGCGCGCACACTTACGCAGGGGCACGCGGGCCGGAAAACACTCGTGTGCACACATCCAGCCGGGCACCCCTGCGCGCACACGCCCGTGCCCACGTGTGCACGTTCACACCCTTGCACACCCCCAGGCGCGCGCTGGCACACTTACCCGGAGAACTTCGCACGCACACGCACTCGCAAACACGCGGACTCCCTGCGCCACCAGCAAGCAGCCGCCAGAATTGCCGGGTGTTCCCCAAGTACTCCTGGGAGACCCGGGCCCCCGCCCCCGCCAGCGCGTGTGGCCACTACTCCTCCTTCCCTCCCGGGTCCCCAGGGCCGGACCACCAGCCTCGTTGTCATGGCGACGCCGGCTCATCTCCCCCGAACCTCGCGCGTCTTCACGCCCCTCCCCCGCAGGGAGCTGGGGCCTCCGTCCTCCCCTCCCCATGTCTGTAGGGACCCAGAGGCGGACAGGAGCAGGGGGTCTGATCCGCCTGCTGTCGCCGGCCGGGGATCTCGGGGTCCCCCGAGCCAGGCTGGGGAGCCTCACGATCTGAGGGAGGAGGCAGAGGTCTGACGCTGCGGCTTCCCGCACACCTCCTCCCTTTGGCCATTCAGGCCTCTCTCCTTGTGGCCCAACCCAAGTCCCAGGGGCCCGTGTCCCCTTACCAGGGATGGCATCTCCTTTAGGAACCACCCTCCCTCACCTTTCCCCCTGCCGTCTCCAGTTCTGCCCCGCAGGTGGGAAGGGGCGTCGGGGCTTAGCTCTGAAGGCCCCCGAGCCCTGCGTTCGTTCCCCATGTGCTGCCATTTCTCACCCAAACCCTGCCACCCCCAAGCCGCCCCCCTGCCCTGCCCTGCGCCTACCACGAAGTGTCAGTCCACCCCTGGCCTTCGGTCTTCACTCACCTTTGACCCAAACTTACCATTCCGAAAACACGAAAGGGCTTATCACCCCCGCTGCCCACCACTGACTCACCCAACCGTTTCCTGCAGTTCCCGGGACACACCTAGACGGCTCAGTCCTAAGGATCTTGGCTCACATGCGCTCCTCTACCTGGGACCGGCGTTTCCTTAGGGAGTCACCCTGGGTCCCCTCTTCCTAGGAACCTTCCTGGGGCATCCCACACTGCCCCTCAGCTCTACCGCCGTCAGGACTCCGCTCAGCACCGTTTCGCCAGTGCCTCCCCCACCAGCAGGGAGTTCCACTGGAGCGGCTGATTCATCTGGGAGTTCCTAGTGTCCCAAACTGGGCCTGGCACGAAGTTGGCATCTCTAAGTGCTGTTATTTAAAAGAGAATTCTGGTTGCACGACAAAGTGAACATACCGAACACCACCTAATCTTACCCTTAAAAATGGTGAAGATGGTACATATCGATGTGTGTATTTCACTGCAATTTTTTTTTTTTTTTTTTAAGTCAGAGAAATGGAGTCCAGCCTGGTGGCGGATGCCTGTAATCCCAGCTACTCCAGGGACTGCCGCGAGAGGATCGCTTGAGTGAAGCCAGACTGGGCAACACGGTGAGACACAGTCTCTTAAAAATAAAAAAAAATAATAAAATAAAAAGTAAGAGAAATGTAAAGTCAACAACACTGAGAGGGTGAGGCACACACCTGTAATCCCAACGCTTTGGGAGGCCGAGGCGGGCGCATCACCTGAGGTCAGGAGTTTGAGACCAGCCTGGCCAACATGGTGAAACCCCATCTCTGCTAAAAATACAAAAAATTAGCTGAGCTTGGTGGCCTGTGCCTTGGGAGACTGAGGCAGGAAGATCGCTTGAACCCGGGAGGTGGAGGTTGCAGTGAGCTGAGATCATACCACTGTACTCCAACCTGGGCTATAAGAGCAAAACTCAGTCTCAAAACAAACAAAAAACCCTGAGAAATCACTTATTACCCATAAAATGGGCAAAATCAAAGTGTCTGGGCCGGTGGTGGTGGCTCACACCTGTAATCCCAGCACTTTGGGAGGCTGAGGTGGGCTGATCCCCACCGCCACTTTGGGAGGCTGAGGTGGGTCTGATCCTCTTGAGGCTCAGAAGTTCAAGACCAGCTGGGCAACATGGTGAGGCGCCTGTCTCTAAAAAAAAAAAAAAAAAAAAGCCAGGACATCAGTGGCTGTGTGCCTGTGGTCCCAGCTACTGAAGAGGCTGAGGTGGGAGGCTTCTCTCTCTTTTTTTTTTTTTTTTTTGAAGATGAGTGCTTGCTCTGTTGCCCCAAGGGCTGGAGTGGCCAGTGGCCATGATCTCGGCTCAACTGCAAAGGCCCGCGCCTCCCCAGGTTCACACCATTCTCCTGCCTCAGCCTCACCAAGTGCTGAGACTACAGGTGCCCACCACCATGCCAGCTAATTTTTTGTACTTTTAGTAGAGATGCAGTTTCACCTTTTTTTTTTTTGGTTTAGCCCAGGATGGTCTTGATCTCCTCCCTGAGCCCCGTCGTGATGGTGGGGAGAGATCTCTGAAGCCGCCAGGAGGCTCACGTTGTAGTTAGATACAATCAACCATCGCACTGCACTCCAGCCTGGGTAACAGTGAGAAGCCCTAAATCCTCAAAAAAAAAAAAAAAAAAAATGTAAACACACAGCACCACCACACACACACACATATCCTTAGACCCAGAATTCAACCTTTAGAAGTTTTATCTATAGATACTGCCTGACGGCCATGGCCAAATAATAGAATTTCAAATTTCTTTTTTTTTTTTGGAACAGAGTTCGCCCTTGTTGGCCCAGGCCTGGAGTCGT